GCAGTAGACCTAGTGCTAAGTACTGAATGCAATGTTAATCATGCTTGAAAATCCTTACATGCTCCACTGGTTTGTTGTTTTAAACATCACAAATGTCTACTTCCAGGTATGTAACCCCTGGGGCTACCCTCATTAATACATCAAGAACTGCCTAGGATTATCGTAACTAATCTGATCAAATCTAATCTAACCATTTTGTATAGCGCTGAAAGGTCCCAGGTATACTGTTCACTGGCGCTTTCACATGTTCTGAGTATGTACACAGAATATACACACTAATGCAACTAGTACTACATAGGCCTACCGTCATTAATACATCAAGTACTATCTAGATCTACAGTGACGAATACATCAAGTACTGCCTAAGGCTACTGTCACTAATACATCAAGTACTACCTAGGGCTACTGTCACTAATACAACAAGTACAATCTAGGGCTACTGTCACTAATGCAGCAAGTACTGCCTAGAGCTACCGTCACTAATACATCAAGTACTATCTAGGGTTACCGTCACTAATACAGCAAGTCTTACATAGAGCTACCGTCACTAATACAACAAGTACTATCTAGGGCTACCGTCACTAATACAGCAAGTCCTACATAGGGCTACCGTCACGAATACAGCAAGTCCTACATAGAGCTACCGTCACTAATACAGCAAGTCCTACATAGAGCTACCGTCACTAATTCAGCAAGTCCTATGGTGGGCCACCGTCACTAATACAGCAAGTCTTACATAGAGCTACTCTCACTAATACAGTAAGTCCTATATAGAGCTACCGTCACTAATACAGCAAGTCCTACATAGAGCTACCGTCACTAATTCAGCAAGTCCTATGTTGGGCTACCCTCACTAATACAGCAAGTACTATCTTGGGCTACCGTCACTAATACAGCAAGTCCTACATAGAGCTACCATCACTAATACATCAAGTACTATCTAGATCTACAGTGACTAATACATCAAGTACTATCTTGGGCTACCGTCACTAATACAGCAAGTCCTACATAGAGCTACCATCACTAATACATCAAGTACTATCTAGATCTACAGTGACGAATACATCAAGTACTGCATCGAGCTACTGTCACTAATACAGCAAGTCCTACATAGAGCTATTATCACTAATACATCAAGTACTATCTAGATCTACAGTGACGAATACATCAAGTACTGCATCGAGCTACTGTCACTAATACAGCAAGTACTGCCTAAGGCTACTGTCACTAACACAACAAGTACTATCTAGGGCTACCGTCACTAATACAGCAAGTACTACCTAGGGCTACTGTCACTAACACAACAAGTACTATCTAGGGCTACCGTCACTAAATACAGCAAGTACTACCTTGGGTTACCGTCACTAATACAACAAGTCCTACATCGAGCTACCGTCACTAATACAGCAAGTCCTACATAGAGCTACCGTCACTAATACAGCAAGTCCTACATAGAGCTACCGTCACTAATACAGCAAGTCCTACATAGAGCTACCGTCACTAATACAGCAAGTCCTACATAGAGCTACCGTCACTAATACAGCAAGTCCTACATAGAGTTACCGCCACTAATACAGCAAGTACTATCTAGGGCTACAGCAACTAATACAGCAAGTCCTACATCGAGCTACCGTCACTAATACAGCAAGTCCTACATAGAGCTACCGTCACTAATACAGCAAGTCCTACATAGAGCTACCGTCACTAATACAGCAAGTCATACATAGAGCTACCGTCACTAATACAGCAAGTCCTACATAGAGCTACCGTCACTAATACAGCAAGTCCTACATAGAGCTACCGTCACTAATACAGCAAGTCCTACATAGAGCTACCGTCACTAATACAGCAAGTCCTACATAGAGCTACCGTCACTAATACAGCAAGTCCTACATAGAGCTACCGTCACTAATACAGCAAGTCCTACATAGAGCTACCGTCACTAATACAGCAAGTCCTACATAGAGCTACCGTCACTAATACAGCAAGTCCTACATAGAGCTACCGTCACTAATACAGCAAGTCCTACATCGAGCTACCGTCACTAATACAGCAAGTCCTACATAGAGTTACCGTCACTAATACAGCAAGTCCTACATCGAGCTACCGTCACTAATACAGCTGGTCCTACATAGAGCTACCGCCACTAATACAGCAAGTACTATCTAGGGCTACCGTCACTAATACAGCAAGTCCTACATAGAGCTACCGTCACTAATACAGCAAGTCCTACATAGAGCTACCGTCACTAATACAGTAAGTCCTACATAGGGCTACCGTCACTAATACAGCAAGTCCTTCATAGGGCTACCGTCACTAATACAACAAGTCCTACATAGAGCTACCGTCACTAATACAGCAAGTCCTACATAGAGCTACCGTCACTAATACAACAAGTCCTACATAGAGCTACCATCACTAATACAGCAAGTACTATCTAGGGCTACCGTCACTAATACAACAAGTCCTACCTAAGGCTACTGTCACTAATACAGCAAGTACTACCTTGAGCTACCGTCACTAATACAGCAAAGACTACCTCAGTTGTAAGTATGACAGTTACTTGAAGTAGTCAAAGTGTAAAAGACATTTAATACACTAAATACACGAGTTTATGTATGAATCGTTTCCTTCATATAACGAGTGTGTCATCCTTAGCGGGTCTTGCATTCAGTCAATATTGATTGGATTAGCTACATGAATGTTAAGCATACTATTTGAAGTAATAATAATAATAATAATAAATATACACTTGTATAGCGCTTGTTTCCAGTATTATAATGAACTGCTCAAAAGCGCTTGTGAGCAATGAACTGTCCTGGGAATACACAGTCTAACAGTAGCAGACTTTAAACAAATGTGTTTTCAGTAGTGATTTGAATGATTCAAACTCAGGGGCACTTCTTATTTCAAGTGGGAGGGAGTTCCATAACTGGGGGGCTGAGATTTCGAAACTTCTCTCGCCAAGTGATGTACGAGCTGACGGAAGCTTCAAGAGACACTGGTTACAGGAACGTAGAGTTCTCTCAGGTTTATATTCTTGGATGAGTTCAGAAATGTATGCAGGAGCATCCCGGTGGATAGCACGGAATGTCAGAGTCAGCACTTTAAACTTGATTCTGTCCTCAACTTTGAGCCAGTGGAGATCTTTCAGGATTGGGGTAATGTGTACTGATCTTCTGGTTCTCTTGATTACCAGAGTAATCTCTTCACACACCTCGACGGGCTTGTCTTGGTTGAATGTTACGACTTGTACCAAATAATGATTGTTACTATTGACCCAGGTGAGAATACAAGGATTGTATTCTGTATACAACGTGTATGACTGATTGGTATTTCAGTGTCAGTGACAGGTGCCTGTGGTTGTTATCACCTGAACAAAAAGACGGTAACGACGTTAATGTCATGAACATACATATTGTGTATTTGAGGGCCGGCGGAGATAAACTAGTGGTTAAAGCGTTCGCTCGTCACGCCGAAGACCCGGGTTCGATTCCCCACATGGGTACAATATGTGAAGCCCATTTCTGGTGTCCCCCGTCGAATATTGTTGAAAACGGAGTAAAACTAAACTCACTCACTAACCCACAACAGAAAAGGAGAATTATTTAAGAAACGTCACTGCGTCAGTCAAGAGTGAACTTTGAAGTCAGTATAACTGACGAATGGAATGTATAGATAGGGTGAGTGAGTGAACAGATATGGTTTCACAATGTCTTTACTAGTTATATCATGATGGCGGACACCAACTGTGGTCTTCAACATTTTGCTTAGGTTGGGATTCGAAAGTAGATTTCAAAAGCGTGTCTATTTCATTTATGATTTATGTACCTTAACACCTATGCATACAAAACAAGAACACTCCCGTTATTAATTAATTCAATGAAAGGACATTTTAAGATTACGCTTTATTAGCAAAGTATGAACATATTAATCTTTTTGAAAATACGACTATTCTTCCAGAAATAAGCAGTGTTGCCAAATTGATGAGTTGTTAATACTGTGCCTCACCATGGCTGAAACCTGTTATAACGATACCGACCACATACGTTGTGATAGGTGCTCTTGTAATGCATGTTTGTATCACGATGTGTACAGTCCAGCAATGCATACTGTCACAAATCCGACGAGTCGTACCTTGCGATGTCGCAGGGAGGGAGGTATGTGCATGTACCAGGCGGTAGATTTGGGTCTTTTTATTTCTCTCTATTAACCTGAACACTGGAAGGGGAGATACAGAAATGTACGGTATCTTGGTTACATCCGGAAGGTGTGCATGCGTGTCTGTGTCTTCCCTCTCCTTTACATGCAGCACAAGTAACGGAGCAGAATGAGTTCGTGCAGGTCATTTTAAGGGTGTTATTTATTCTCTTTAATTTTTCTGTAGAGGCAATTTGAGGCGACTGTGAAGCTTTAAAGTTCATCACGTTGCGACCAGCAATGCTGGTTCCTGTTACGCATACCATTTTTCGAACCTTTGACATCTGAAAATATGTGTTATTATCATCTTTTCAAACCTTTGACATCTGAAAATATGTGTTATTATCACCTTTCCAAACCTTTGACAGTCTATAAACTCTCCTTTCTAAGTACTATTTTCGTTAAAACTATAACTCAACTTATACACATTCTAGCATCATTATCAGCACGTGGCCTCTTTCATAACTCATCCTGGCGTCTGTGTCCCCCATCTCTCCGTCACCCTCTTTCGTTTCTACAGTCTTTCCCTTTCTGTGTTCCCTCCCCAATAAAAATAAAATAAAAATCTACCATATACGTTCCTATCTTCCCCCAGCTCGTCAAACAGCCAATGTTACGTGCCGTCGACACAGAATAAGATCAAACAACTTAAAACACTGGTATAGGATGCTGCATATATTTTTCAAGTCGAATTCGCATAGAAAAAGAATTACACAAGGCTCCACGTGCCCCTATATTAGACGGGTCTCTATATTAGACGGGTCTCTCTGCATTTCGGCAGTTCTGCTTTCGGAGTTTTCAGACACGGATCCCTCTTCTTTTCAGACACCGGGTTTTGTACAATATGTTGAAGCTCCCTGGAATCTGTGTTGCTCTTCTGGGACTTGTCCTCACTGTTAACGGACAGACAGGTAGGTGATCCTTCACCTGTTGTCAGGTATATGCATTTTCACATTTAGCCAGTTGAGGTTCCCGTACCGTTACACGGATGACATTGTTGATCGGCTGTTGACAGATATATGTTCGTTTGTTTAACAGACTCGTTGTCTTAACGCTGTGAAAAAGTCGTCAAAATCGGCTTCATTTGCTTATTGTGGTGTCAAGTATTCACTCTAACTAAACGTTGTTAATAGTTATGAATCAAGGTTAACACTTAATTTCAAGTAAAACGTTACTTTCTGTGTCGAGATTAGACTTCAACGTCGGTAAAACCTAACTGTCTTCACCTGGTGTCAGGTATATACATTTTCATACTTAGCCAGTTGAAGTTCCCTTAATGGCATTGTTCATCGGCTGGAGATAGAGATGTTATCGTGTGTGCAACAGACTCATTGTCTTAACGCTTTGAAAAAACAGTCATTTGTTCATTGTGGCGTCAACTATTCACACTAAGTAAACGTTCATATATGTTAAGAATCAAGGTTAACACTACATTTCAACGTAAGTAAGTTGTAACTTTCTTTGTAGAAATGATATTTTAACGTAGGTAAAACCTGACTGTCATTGCTCAAATTATAGTGAGTGTGAGTGAGTTTAGTTTTACGCCGCACCCAGCAATATTCTAGCGATATGGCGGCGGTCTGTAAATAATCGAGTCTGAACCAGACAATCCAGTCATCAACAGCATGAGCATCCATCTGCGCAATTGGAAACCGATGACACGTGTCAACCAAGCGCTCAAATTATAATGTAACGTAGGTAAAACCGGGCTGTCATTGTTCAAATTATACTTTTACGTAGGTAAAACCTGGGTGTAATTGCACAAATTATAATTTAACGTAAATAAAACATGTCTCTCATTGCTCTAATTATAATGCAGCGTAGGGAAAACCTGGCTGTCATTGCTTAAACTATAATTTAATGTAGGTAAAACCTGGCTGTCATTGCTCAAATTATGATTTAACGTAGGTAAAACCTGACTGTCATTGATCAGATTATAATGTAACGTAGGTAATACCTGACTGTCATTGTTCAAATTATAATTTAACGTAGGTAAAATATGAGCTGTCATTGCTCAAATTACAATTTAACGTAAGTAAAACCTGGCTGTCATTCATCAAATTATAATTTAAAGTAAGTAAAACCTGGCTGTCATTGTTCAAATTATCAATTAACGTAGGTAAAACCTTGCTGCCATTGCTCAAATCATAATTTAACGTAGGTGAAATCTGGCTGTCATTGCTCAAATTATAATTTAAAGTAGGTAAAACCTGGCTGTCATTGCTCAAATTATAATTTAACGTAGGTACAACCTGGCTTTTATTCCTCAAATCATAAGTTAACGTAGGCAAAACCACTCTGTCATTGTTCAAATTATAATTTAACGTAGGTAAAACCTGGCTGTCATTGCTCAAATTATAATTTAACGTAGGTAAAACCTGGCTGTTATTTCTCAAACTATTATTTAACGTAGGTAGAACCTGAATGTCAATATTCAAATTATAATTTAACGTAGGTAAAACCTGGCTGTCATTGTTCAAATTATCAATTAAGGTAGGTAAAACCTGGCTGTCATTGCTCAAAATATAATTTAACGTAAGTAAAACCTGGCTGTCATTTGCACAGATTATAATTTAACGTAAGTAAAAGCTGGCTGTCATTGTTGAAATTATAATTTAACGTAGGTTAAACCTGGCTGTCATTGCTCAAATTATAATTTAACGTAAGTAAAATCTGACCGTCATCGCTCAAATTATAATTTAAAGTAGGTAAAACCTGACTTTCATTGTTCAAATTATCAATTAACGTAGGAAAAACCTAGTTGTCATTTCTCAAATTATAATTTAACGTAGGTAAAATCTGGCTGTCATTGTTGAAATTATAATTTAACGTAGATAAAACCTGGCTTTCATTCCTCAAATTATAATTTAACGTAGGTCAAACCTGGCTGTCATTGCTCAAATGATTATTTAACGTAGGTAAAACCTGGCTGTCATTGCTGAAAATATAATTTAACGTAGATAAAACCTGGCTTTCATTCCTCAAATTATAATTTAACGTAGGTCAAACCTGGCTGTCATTGCTCAAATGATTATTTAACGTAGGTAAAACCTGCCTCTCATTGTTCAAATTATATTTCAACGTAAGTAAAACCTAGCTTTCATTGTTCAAATTACAATTTACTTAGGTAAAACCTGGCTGTCATTGCCCAAAATAAAATTTAACGTACGTAAAACCTGGCTGTCATTGCCCAAATTATACTTTAACGTAAATAAAACCTGCTACTGTCATTGCTCAAATTATAAGTTAACGTTGGTAAAACCTAGCTGTCATCGTTCAAATTATAATTTAACGTAGGTAAAGTCTGGCTGTCATTGCTCAAATTATATTTCAATGTAGGTAAATTAAAATTAAACTATCATGGCTAGCAGAATACTTTAAGGAAGGTCAAACTTGAAGGAAATCAATGGAAAATACATATTATCATTTACCGATACTGCGACATTGAAACATCTTTGAATTAACAGAGACAACAGATCTGTAGAGTCAGCCTTCAAAGCCAATCTGGGGCGGTGGGTAAGCTTGTGGTTAAAGCTTTCGCTTGTCACGCCGAAGACCCGGGTTCGATTTCCCAATTGGGTACAATGTGTGAAGCCAATTTCTGGTGTTCCCCGTCGTGATGTTGCCGGAATATTGCTAAAAGCGGCTTAAAACCACACTCACTCACTGACTAAAGCCAATCAAAGTGTTTCTGCCCAGGGGAGAAATGGTTCTGTACAGTCACCTATATTAGTCCTGAATCTTCGTTAGTCATTAAGAATGGTTCTTTAAAGTCAGTCCTTATGCTTCTTTAAAGTGCTAGCTGTTGCTTTCCAAGCTGAACCTAAAAAAGTAACGGGGAATTAGTCCGTAAGAGAACAAGGCCACTACAAACCAGTACAAACTAGAGCGGCAGTACACATTCAAAGGTAATATCATACGAGAACAGTGATTATGTCAATAACGACAGTGATGGTATTATTCTCCTTCCAGGGTGTAATGATTATCATACTGAATGCTGGTCTTAGTGTAACTTCAGATATTATATCAGATGAAAGGCAATAGGCAATAGTGAACCATAGATGAGTGTAAGTTATCAGTGACATCTTATATAGACCATCGTGCTTGTTTACAGTGGCACCGGACCCTCGGTGTAGTGGCTTCCGGGAAGGCGACGGGAACATTATGGCTGAAGGCTTGGGGTGTAGATACTACCTCTCGTGTTTTAACTTCATCATCAATCGCGACCCCATGGCCTGTGCTGGAGACACCATGTTCAACCCCGACTCCGGAAGGTGTGATGCGGCGGAATGCTCCGACAATGGCGGTGTATCTAATTATGGTAGGTTCCCTGTTGCTACCTTTATACCAGAACTATGTTCATGACCACACATATCACAACTATGTTCATGACCACACATATCAAAACTATGTTAATCACCACACATATCACAACTATGTTCATGACGATGGGGTAGCCTAGTGGTTAAAGCGTTGGCTCGTCACGCCGAAGACCCGGGTTCGATTCCCCACATGGGCACAATGTGTTAAGCCCATTTCTGGTGTCCCACGCCGCGATGTTGCTGGAACATTGCTAAAAGTGGCGTAAAACTAAACTCAGTCAGTCATGACCACACATATACCACAACTATGTTCATGACCACACATACCACAACTATGTTCATGACCACACATATCACAACTATGTTCATGACCACACATATCACAATTATGTTCATGACCACACACATCACAACTATGTTCATGACCACACACATCACAACTATGTTCATGACCACACATATCACAACTATGTATGTATGTATGTATGTATGTATGTATGTATGTATGTATGTATGTATGTATGTATGTATGTATGTATGTATGTATGTGTGTGTGTATGTATGTATGTGTGTGTGTGTGTGTGTGTGTGTGTGTGTGTGTGTGTGTGTGTGTGTATGTGTGTATGTGTGTATGTCTATGTATGTGTGTGTGTATGGGTGTATGTGTGTATGTGTGTATGTATGCATGCATGCATGTGCGTGAGTATGAATTAATGATGAATCTGTAATGCCACATGATGAAGTTATGCGGTTGATCTCATCATGTATATTTTGAACAGACTGTGAAGAGGGTGCTCTACCAAATGATTGTTCCCGTTTCAACATCTGTTTCAACACGCCCAATGGCACCACCCTCTTCCAGTGTGGCGAGGGCACCTACTACCACAACATAAAGCGCGTGTGCGTCAAACCTGACGAGTATCCGGACCTGCCACAAGAACAGGGATGTACCTTCAACAACCCCCGTTAACCGCAGCCACAACTTCAGCATCTACGTCCACAACAGCTACAGCATCTACCGTGCAAGCAACTATTTTGTTGCCTATGACAAGTGTTCAGTATTAATGATGTTCTTTAGACAAATGTAGAGATAATATTTACATAAAAACATAGAACTATTGGTACAAATGAGCAATAAAATGTGAAACAGACATTGTTGGTGCTATTCTAATAAGGTTTAGGTCGGGCGATTCGGAAAGCCATTGAAGCACTGTAATGTTTTCATTCTGAAGATACTGAATAGTGGCATGTGCTGTGTAGGGCCGTGAACAACTCCCTCCATGGTCGGAACCATGTGAATCCTTTAGATTACGTCTGTGTACCGAATATTAGTTACATTTTCCCTGAAGGCGCACATTTCTGCGTGTCAGATATAGTTCCCAACAACATGACACTTTCACCACACTACTCCGCAGCCTCCAGGCGTCTATTGGCATTGTTTTGGTTTTCAGCTGTGAGTTGCGGTATAACGATATTCCTTCATTTAGCTAATAAATGCCAATGGCCGTCTAAAAGCATGTCAGGCAGTGTCCCTACTTACGATTCCTCAGAACTACACGTGCATATTGTGAACCACGTTTTCTCCATGACATTTTCATGCAAGTTCACACTTTCAAACGTAAACCTCCTGTTTCAGAAGATTTTGCACTGTGCGTTCGTTCCATGTACGCAAACCGGCATTATAATGGCAAAATAATAACAATGAAACTGTAACAATATTTTTGAAAAGTATTTGAAACGTCACATTAATATCACTTATCTGTTTCTTTTTGGGGAGAGTATATTTGTAGTCAATGCTTAGAGTGGTTGGCCATAAAACTTTTATAGATTTGCCGAAGACTTGAATGAATACCATAATACCATATTCATGAGTGCTCCTAAAGGCTTAGAGCCCGTTTCACAAACCGATGAGAGTGCTACGACTGTCGTAAGTCTATATTATACTAGAGTATGGAAGTTCGATCACATTAGCGCTACGATCGCTGTGTCAAATGGGGCCCTGGTTAGAATAAAGTAAGTAGGGAATCTGAAGGTAACAGAACGAAGAGTCTCAGATGTATGTAATTCGATATATGTGCCCTTAAGTTCTTCACTGACAGTGTACATACGTGATCTTCCAAATGTAAATCTGGAAACTGTTTGGCACATAGTACTTTAGAATAGTAAAAGAAATGATTCACAAGCCTGTATGGAGGGGCACATGAAAGCGACACTTTCAACACACGCATCGGCTGAGCAAGCATCCTTATCATCGCGAACAGTGGTTTCAACACTGATCTTCAGTCATTCATAGACAGTTTCACCTCTGTTTAGTCGTTTACGCCGGGAGATTATCGAGACTGGTTATTCTCTGGCCTTGACGCTGTATATTCAAAGATCATTGCTACAAAATAAAAGAAGTACGTCGTGCGGGTGGCATTTTTCTTCCCGATAAAATACCAATTTGGGTTTCAAATGTTTTGCAAGAAAATAGAGAAAGCAATGGTGACTAAGAAAGACAGACCCCAAACGGACCTGAAGAAATGCTGACAACTCCAGCTTCTATTTTAAAACTGAAAACGTTTTCTCTCGACTGGTAATGATAATCTAATGACATATCGTTAATACGTTTGGTTATGTTGACATTTACATTAGTCGTTAATTACCGTGTAGTCTGTCATGTTAACCAAAATTGTCTTACTGTGACTGGCTGATGAAATACACATACATATATAATGGTGGTTAAATATATAACAAAAAAAGATTAGTTTGTTCGATGATGATTCACATGTTTATTGTAGTTTTGTTTTGAAATTTGGGTTCCATTTTTCGGGAACTGTTTTTGGCATTATAACAGTTTGAAAACGGTTATCTTGTTTGATAACATCCACTTTTCAAGGGGAATTTTCCTATGCTCAACAGTTCATGAAAATTAGTGTCAGATATCTCGGCCTTTCCTCTGTTTATATTTCATAAGAAGTAAACCTATATTTGCAGAGGGTCTTAGATTTTCATCAAATTTTGTGAGTCAGTTTCTTTTGGCAAGCAATAAAGGAATGGGGTTTCATTTTACCAGTAAATATTTTTCCGGTACTTTCTTTACACTGAAAAAGTGCGCCCTAAACAAGGGACGATATGCACAGATGGGTACATGTTTTTCCCCAGTGTTGGGTAGGTGCATTTACACGCGCGATAAAATGGCAGCACCAGTGTATGCATCCTTCGTGGAGAAAGTGAAGGGCTTTGATTAAGAATGTCTTGGTAGTCATGGTAAATATTATATGGGGAAAAATATAATGATAGATTTAATTTGCTTGATTAAAGAGTAAATTTGATTACAGTAAGTTTTAGAAGATGTGAACTACCTGTTGTTTCTGATGTTTCTGAAACTCAGGGACATAATTGGATGAAGCCGAATGCTTGGCGAGAGTGTCACCAAGTTTTGTTGGCAATATCAGTTAATATATTAACACCGTACTTCAAATGGTGAAGGGTGAATTTTAAGCCTTTGGCTTTTATTCTTTGTACCATTTCCACACCTTTGAAATCGGTGTACTCAATTTATTTTGGACACATAATTTCTCCTAGAGTGACCCTTATTCTGTTTAAATGCGCGTCGAGCCTTGGCATTTTAACTTTATTCAAGTTATGCAAGATAGGATGTCGTCGAAAATACTTTTAGGCTTTCTTCTTACACTTTCTGGCCTGTTTGCATTCATTATTGAACCAAGGTTTACGAATATGTGGAGTTGCAGAGGACTGTGGAATTGTTTTGTCAGAAATATTGTTAAGTATGTCCGAAAAGGTCATGTTTCAAGTGTTCAATACTTGGAGTCATATATAATAACCAGTCAGTCTTGGTGAACTTCCTTCTTGATAAAGAAGAGTTTTAAGAATGGTGGGGAAGTGATCACATAGGTCATCATGTCCCAGCCATTCAAATTCATTATACAAGGTTGTATCGAGGAGTGCCAGATAGAGTGCAGAATATGTTCCAGTTGCTGGATGTAGATATCATTACATTTACAAAGGTTATTATACAGATCCTAACCAATTAACTGAAATAAGTACACTAATCTGCATATTGTCCCATTTTTGGGACAAATACAATTGAATATGGAAAAAATGCAAACGATTTAAATTTATTTTTTCTGTTTGAATAACGAAATACTTAAACGCATTCTGATGAACTTACATAGTTAAAATTGGGACCAAGACAAAAATCATCTGATCTCACACTTCGCCGAATTGGCAGGGGAGCGGCCTTGCCACGGGAGGTCGCCATGCTTACAGGGACGTGACTTTAAAAGTAATGTGAATGGTTCAACCACTAAAAATTTACTCAGCCGCTTTCACTTCTATACTGCAAGTCTCTATCTTGAACAATCAGAAGTACCCGTCCCCAAAAAGGGACAATAGGCATAAATAGGTTTCAAAGAGCAATATTGTACGATCAAAAATTCATCATAAGTTGATTACAATTACATAATTTGAATATAGAAACTAAGCAAAAAATTACAAAAGGTAAAATATCGTCATTTAGTAGCCTATAATCTTGCATGATTTAAAAGTGTATTATAACTTAACAAGTCGAAGAGAGTGATATATTAAAAATAAATACCCCATGAAAATTCACTAGCCAGTTGGGCCAGTGACTGTGGATATTTACTGTCCCGACTGATTTTTTAGAAACAATTCTCAACACAATATATCAGCTGAAACATACCAACGGCATAACAATAACGTTATTCACACTTGATTGTCATATACATAAGAATTCTAATATCTCATTACTGAGATTTACTGTCCCGACTGATTTTTTACTAGCCGCAGGCTAGCGGGCCAGTGGCTATTTCGCACGCTGGCTACACATATTGGTATAAGTCCACTGACATATTAGTCTCGTCCCCTAAATCCCCTAACACAACATTAATGAAGACTAGGACCGATTGTGAATAAAAGTAATGCAAGAGCCATTTTTAAGTAGGATTTGTTATCCAGGCTATTTTACCTCTTTAAAGGGTGCTGATCACGAAAAGTAGGATACCAAGCTGAAAATATGTTTGTGACACTCAAATTTGAAAAACAAAATGGCCTCCAAAATGGCCTTAAATAGGGGTAGGTGTGTACAGTATTTTCGCCTGTGATTGTATCTCTATTTCTTAATTTTGGAAACCTGAATTTTTATGACATTTAAGGAATGTTGATTATGAATAAATAGGATTCCAAGTTGCACCATGTTTATTGGACCCTCAAATTTGAAAAACAAAATGGCCGCCATAGTCGCCTCAAGTAGTGGTAGGTGTGCACGGTATGTCGTCACTTGTGACTGTATATCTATTTTCTAAATTCTTTGAAGCCTGACCTTTTTAGACATTTAAAGGGTGTTGATCACGATAACATAGAATATCAACTGAAAAAATTGATTATGAACCTCAAACTTGAAAACAAAATGGCCGCAAAAATAGCTGATTCTGTCATTGTTACCATAAAGTTATTGAGACTGAGGAAACAAATAGCATTCAAAGTTATACCAATACACAACTACATATGTTTCATGAACAGTTTAAATCATTTCGGATGGAAACAATACGGGTAATCAATGAAACTTTAGAAATAATTCTCAACACAATATATCAGCTGAAACATACCAACGGCATAACAATAACGTTATTCACACTTGATTCTCATATACATAAGAATTCTAATATCTCATGCTTTGCTTAACAATTTGGTCAAAACAACAACACACAAGTTTGAATTCAACATCTCATAATATTCAACGATTCATTGAAAAAGCGCCTTTATGACTTGACTTTGATCAATGACATTTCATCAATAAACACATAAACACTAATACAGCAAAAACTACACCTTGGGCTACCTTCACTACAACAGCAAGTACTACCTAGAGCTACCGTCACTACTACAGCAAGTACTACCTTAGGCTGCCGTCACTAATACCGCAAGTACTACCCGGAGCTACCGTCACTAATTCCGGAAGTACTACCTTGGACTACCGTCACTAATACCGCAAGTACTACCTTGGGCTGCCGTCACTAATACAACAAGTACTACCTTGGACTACCGTCACTAATACCGCAAGTACTACCTTGGACTACCGTCACTAATACCGCAAGTACTACCTTGGGCTGCCGTCACTAATACAACAAGTACTACCTTGGACTACCGTCACTAATACAGCAAGTACTACCTTGGGCTGCCGTCACTAATACAACAAGTACTACCTTGGACTACCGTTACTAATACCGCAAGTACTACCTTGGGCTGCCGTCACTAATACCGCAAGTACTACCTTGGACTACCGTCACTAATACCGCAAGTACTACCTTAGGCTACCGTCACTAATACAGCAAGTACTACCTTGAGCTACCGTCACTAATACAGCAAAGACTACCTCAGTTGTAAGTATGACAGTTACTTGCAGTAGTCAAAGTGTAAAAGACATTTAATACACTAAATACACGAGTTTATGTATGAATCGTTTCCTTCATATAACGAGTGTGTTATTCGTAGCTGGTCATGCATTCATGCATATTGATTGGATCAGCAACATGAATGTTAAGCATTCTATTTGAAGTAATCTCTTCACACACCTCGACGGGCTTGTCTTGGTTGAATGTTACGACTTGTACCAAAGTAATGATTGTTACTATTGACCCAGGTAAGAATGCAAGGATTGTATTCTGTATACAACGTGTATGACTGATTGGTATTTCAGTGTCAGTGACAGGTGCCTGTGGTTGTTATCACCTGAATAACAAGACGGTAACGACGTTAATGTCATGAACATACATATTGTGTATTTGAGGGGCGGCGGAGATAGCCTAGTGGTTAAAGCGTTCGCTCGTCACGCCAAAGACCCGGGTTCGATTCCCCACATGGGTACAATATGTGAAGGGCTTTTCTGGTGTCCCCCGCCGGAATATTGCTGAAAACGGAGTAAAAATATACTCACTCACTATTGTGTATTTGAAAACAGTTACGTGCACTGGATTTAGATTTCAGGCCAACAACAAGACACGTTGACTTCCAAAGACACGATGTTTAATCGACGACCTTCAAAAGCACATTCAAGGGAGATTACTCCAACTCATCATGTGGTAGATTAGAAAATCACCACTAGAAAATCAAGATCAAGTAACATGTTTGTATGAGGTAAGATAAATATGTATCACTCACTCACTATTGTGTATTTCAAAACTTTGTCAAAACGCGTTCTGTTATTTCAGAAATATGCAGTCTATCGATATTGATCAGTTGATAATACTGTGCCTCACCATGGCTGAAACCTGTTATAACGATACCGACCACATACGTTGTAACAGGTGCTCTTGTAATGCATGTTTGTATCGCGATGTGTACAGTCCAGCGATGCATACTGTCACAAATCCGACGAGTCGTACCTTGCGATGTCGCAGGGAGGGAGGTATGTACATGTACCAGGCGGTAGATTTGGGTCTATATTTCTCTCTATTAACCTTAACACTAGAAGGGGAGATACAGAAATGTACGGTGTCTTGGTTGAATCCGGAAGGTGTGCGTGCGTGTCTGTGTCTTCCCTCTCCTCTACATACAGCACAAGTAACGGAGCAGAATAAGTTCGTGCTGGTCATTTTCAAGGTGTCATCTATTTCTCTATATTTCCTCTGTCGAGGCGATTTGAGGCGACTGTGAAATCACGTTGCGTCCAGCAGTGATGTTCCTGTTACGCATACCATTTTTCGAACCTTTGACATCTGAAAATGTCTGCTATCACCATCTTGTATCGTTGTCAGCACGTGACCCATTCCATGACTCCTCCTGGTGTCTGGAAGTGTTTCCAATACTACCCCTCCTTTTCTCTCCCTTCCCCCTCTTTCATTTCTGCTGTCTTTCCCTCTCTGTGTCCCTTCCCCCAAAATTACATTCCACCATATACGTTCCTACCTTCCCCCCAGCTCGTCAAACAGCCTGTGCTACGTGCCGTCGACACGGGGCAAGATCAAACAACTTAAAACACCGGTATAGGATACTGAATATATTTAAAAGTCACATTCGCATAGAAAAAGAGTTTCACAAGACTCCCCTTGTCCCTTTATTAGACGGGTCTCTCTGCATTTCGGCAGTTCTCCTTTCGGAGTTTTCAGACACGGATCCCTCTTCTTTTCAGACACCGGGTTTTGTACAATATGTTGAAGCTCTCTGGAATCTGTGTTGCTCTTCTGGGACTTGTCGTCACTGACGGACAGACAGGTAGGTGATCCTTCACCTGTTGTCAGGTATATACACTTTCTCAATTAGCCAGTTGAGGTTCCCTTAACGTTGCACCGATGGCATTTATCATCGGCTGGAGAGAGAGAGATGTTATCGTGTGTGTATCAGACTCGTTGTCTTAACGTTTTAAAACATCATTTCCTCTTTTTCGCGTCAAGTATTCACTCCAAGTAAACGTTCTTATCAGTTAAGAATTAAGGTTAAAACTATTTTGCAAGGTAAGTAAAACGTAACTTTCTTTGTAGAAATTATGCTTCAACGTAGGTAAAACCTGACTATCATTGTTCAAATTACTTCAATATAGGTAAAGTAAAATTAAACTGTTATGGTTAACAGAATACTTTGAGTGAGTTAAAACTAGAAGGAAATCAATGGAAGATGCATGATATTATGTTCACTATCATTATCAATTACCGATACTGCGACATTGAAACATCTTTGAATTAACAGAGACAACAGATCTGTAGAGTCAGCCTTCAAAGCCAATCTGGGGCGGTGGGGTAGCTTGTGGTTAAAGCTTTCGCTTGTCACGCCGAAGACCCGGGTTCGATTTCCCAATTGGGTACAATGTGTGAAGCCAATTTCTGGTGTTCCCCTGCCATGATGTCACAGGAGTATTGATATGCGCGGCATAACACCCAACTTACTCACTCACTCACTAAAGTCAATCAAATTGTTTCTGCTCAGTGGAGAAAGGCAAAATGGTTCTGCACATTCACCTATATTAGTCCTAAATGTTCGTTAGAGTCATTAAGTATGGTCCTTTAAAGTATTTCCTAGATATTCGTTAGACTGACTGAGTTTGGTTTTACGCCGCTTTTAGCAATATTCCAGCAATATCACGGCGGGGGACACCAGAACTGGGCTTCACACATTGTACCCATGTGGGGATTCGAACCCGGGTCTTCGGCGTGACGAGCCAACGCTTTAACCATTAGGCTACCACACCGCCCCGCTTCGTTAGAGTCATTAAGAATGGTTCCTTAAAGTCAGTCCCAATGCTTATTTGAAGTGTCAGGTGTTGCTCCCCAAGTTGAAACTAGAAAACTTAACGGGGAATCTAATTACGAGAACTAGTTCACTACAAACCAGTACAACAAACAAAAGTGGCAGTACACATTCACAAGTAATATGATACGAGAGCAGTGGCTATGTCAATACAGACAGTGACCTCACAGGGTGTAATGATCATCAAACTGAATGCTGATCTTCTTTTCACGTCTACCCGTGAAGATTCGGGTTAGAATTGATCTTCAGTAACCGATGCTTGTCGTATGAGGCGACTAACGGGATCGGGTGGTCAGGCCTGCTGACTTGGTTCAAACATGTCATCGGTTCTCCAATTGGGCAGATCGATGTTCATGTTGTTGATGACTGGATTATCTGGTCCAGACACGATTATTTACAGACCACCGCCATCAACCTGGAATATTGCTGAGTACGGCGTAAATCTAAACGACATGACAGGCAATAACCACCTCCCCTCATAAACACAAGAAAAACACTCAAGAAGATTTTCCAACAACCCATTGGACTGTAGTACCCTGTAGTACCCTGTAGTACCCTGTAGTACCCTCCAGTGTCTAAACATAGCACAAGTTTAAATGTAGCACATCACTGACCCTAACTCACTATCCACTTATACAACGTTTACAATTACCACATTGTTACACTATTAACTGCTATCAAAACTAGCATAACAACAGCCACTACAAAAGGCACACCATTGTTCTTTAGAGTGAATCATAGATGAGTGTAAGTTATCAGTGACATTTTATACAGACCCTCGTGCTTGTTTACAGTGCCACCAGACCCTCGATGTAATGCCTTCCCAAATGGCGAAGGGAACATTATGGCTGAAGGCTTGGGGTGTAAATACTACCTCTCGTGTTTCAACTTCATCATCAATCACGAGCCCATGGCCTGTGCTGGAGAAACCATGTTCAACCCCGACTCTGGCATGTGTGATGCAGAGGAATGCACCGACAATCGCGGTTTTTCTAATTATGGTAGGTTCCCTGTTGCTATCTTTATATCACAACTATGTTCATGACCACAGATATCACAACTATGTTCATGACCACACATATCACAACTATGTTCATGACCACACATATCACAACTATGTTCATGACCACACATATCACAACTATGTTCATGACCTCACATACCACAACTATGTTCATGACCACACATATCACAGCTATATTCATGACCACACTTATCACAACTATGTTCATGACCACACATATCACAACCATGTTCACGGCCACACATATCACACCTATGTTCATGACCACATATCACACTATGTTCATGACCACACATATCACAGCTATGGTCATGACCACACTATGTTCATGACCACACATATCACAACTATGTTCATGACCACATATATATCACAACTATGTTCATGACCATCACATACCACAACTATGTTCATGTTCATGACCACATATCACAACTATGTTTATGACCACACATATCACAACTATGCTATATATTCATGACCACACTATATCACAACTATGTTCATGACCACACATACCATGTTCAACTATGTTCATGTTCACCACATATATCACAGCTATATTCATGACCACACACATTATCACAACTATGTTCATGACCACATATCACAACTATGTTCATGACCACATATATCACAGCTATATTCATGACCACACATATCACAACTATGTTCATGACCACACATATCACAACTATGTTCATGACCACACATATCACAACTATGTTCATGACCACACATATCACAACTATGTTCATGACCACACATATCACAACTATGTTCATGACCACACATATCATATATCACAACTATTACCTGTGGTTCCAGAACCAGTTGTCATAACATAGAAACAACATAACTACTGCTACTATTACACCACTTCGAACCTTACAGTCGTACTGCCTATTTTGCAACACCTACTTCGATACTCCTCGTTCCGCATCCTCCTCATTGTGCTGGAATATTGCTACAACTGGAGAAATTACTCACTCATTCATACTTGATTAATCTATAAACATGTATGTATGTGCGTGCGTGCGTGCGTGTAATGCCACATGTTGAAGTTATGAGGTTGGTGTCATTATGTATATTTTGAACAGACTGTGAAGAGGGTGCTCTACCAAATGATTGTTCCCGTTTCAACATCTGTTTCAACACGGCCAACGACACCATCACCTTCCAGTGTGGCGAGGCTACCTACTATCACAACATATTGCGAGTGTGCGTCCATCCTGACGAGTATCCGGACCTGCCACAAGAACAGGGATGTACCTTCAACTCCCGTTAACCGCAGCCACAACTTCAGCATCTACATCCACAACGGCTACAGCATCTACCGTGCAAGCAACTATTCTGTTGCCTGCCACAAGAACAGGGATGTACCTACAATCCCCGTTAACCATCGCAACTTCAGCATCTGCGTCTTGTTGCCTATGACAAGTGTTTACGACATGGGGGCAGATTCAGTATTAAAGATGTTCTTTAGATAAAAGTAATAACATTTTCATAAAAACATAAAAATGATATTACAAATGAGCAATAAAATGAGAGGAAAATTCCTTTATTTCTTAATTTGTCTGACGTTTCACCAGAAAATGATTGATGCATTTCTAATAAGGTTGAGGTCGGGCGATTCGGAAGCCCTGAGTTGCGGTATAACGATATCCTTTCATTCAGCTAATAAATGCCAATGACCGTCTAAAAGCAAAACGGCATTACACAGGCAACGTCCCTACTCACGATTCCTCAGAGCTACAACGTCCACAACAACTACGGCATCTACCGTGCAAGCAGCTATCTTGTTGTCTATGACAAGTGTTTATCATGGGGGGAGATTCAGTATCAACGATGGTCCGTAGACAAATGTAGTAATAACATTTTCAGAAAAACGAATCAGCAATATAATGTGAGGAAACTTCCTTTATTTCTTATTTGTCCCCACTCACGATTCCTCAGAACTACACGCGAATATTGTGAACTACGTTTTCTCCGTGACATTTTCATGCAAGTTGACACTTTCAAACACTTTCAAAGTTTCGGAAGTTTTACGCTGTGCATTCTTTGATTTAACATATTTTATTCATTGAGAAAAAAGATGGGCACAAGTTATCCAGCTTAATTCCAGAGCATATTACAAATCTATAATGAAAAGTTTCATAGAAACTTTGATATTGGTAAGGTTATCCAACTTAATGACGCCCTCTCTCCATCTACACAAAAACCGACATTACAATGGTAAAATTATAACAATCAAACAATTATATTTTTGAAAAATATTTGAAACGTCACATTAATATCACTTATCTGTTTCTTTTTGGGGAGAGTATATTTGTAGTCAATGCTTCGAATTTGGAAACATTCTTAAAGTGGTTTGCCATAAAAATTTTGAAGATTTGCTGAAGACTTGAATGTTGCTGCATTTTAATAGTATAACACCAAATGGGCGCTCCTACGGGCCTGGGGCCCGTTTCACAAACCGATGAGAGTGCTACGACTGTCGTAAGTCTATATAATAATAGAGTATGGGAGTTCGATAACATTAGCGCGACGATCGCTTTGTGAAATGGGGCCCTGGTTAGCATAAATAATATAAGTAGGGAATCTGAAGGTAACAGAACAAAGAGTCCCAGGTGTATGTAACTTGGTATATGTGCCCTTTAGTTCTTGTCACATTGACAGTGTACACACGTGATCTTCCAAATGTATACTTGGAAACTGTTTGTCACATATTGCTTTAGTATGGCAAAGGATATGACTCACAAGTCTGTATGGAGGGGCACATGAAAACGACACTTTTAACACACGCATCGGTTGAGCAAGTATCCTTACCATCGCGAAAAGTGGTGTCAGCACTGATCTTCAGTCATTCATAGCCAGTGTGACCTCTGTTTAGTCGTTTACGCCAGGAGATGGTAGAGATGATTGTTCCCTGGCCTTGATGCCGTATATTCAAATATCATTCCTACAGAATACAACAAGCCTGTCGTGGGGGTGGCAATTTTTCCCCGATAAAATACCAAGTTGGAAACTGTTTTGCAAGAAATAAAGGAAGCAATGGTGACTAAGAAAGACAGACCCCCAAACAGACCTGACGAAATGCCGACAACTCCAGCTTCTAAACTGAAAACGTTTCATCTCGACTGGACAAAGTTGGAACGTTATGACAGTAAAATGACATATCGTTAATACGTATGGTTGGTTATGTTAGCAAAGAACTCGTCCAATCAACACATTTCTTGGAATCGGCTCAACAACATGATGATAGTAATTTAATGAAAGTCAAGTATGGGAGCGACACTTTCAACACACGCACCGGTTGAGCAAGTATCCTTAGCTTATCATCGCGAACAGTGGTTTCAACACTGATCTTCAGTCATTCATAGACAGTTTCACCCCTGTTTAGCCGTTTACGCCGGGAGATTATCGAGACTGGTTATTCTCTGGCCTTGACGCTGTATATTCCTTGGCTCAACAGTTCATGAAAATCAGTGTCAGATATCTCCGCATTTCCTCTGTTTATATTATCTATATATGCAGAGGGTCTTAGATTTTCATCAAATTTTGTGAGCCAGTTTCTTTTGGCAAGCAATAAAAGGAATGGGGTTTCATTTTACCAGTAAATATCTTTTCCCGTACTTTCTTAACACTGCAAAAGTGCGCCCTAAACAAGGGACGATATGCACAGATGGGTACAGGTTTTTTCCCAGTGTTGGGTAGGTGCAATTACACGCGCGATAAAATGGCAGCACCAGTGTATGCATCCTTCGTGGAGAAAGTGAAGGGCCTTGATTAGGAATGTCTTGGTAGTCATGGTAAATATTATATTGGGAAAAATATAATGATAGATGTAATTTGCTTGATTAAAGAGTAATTTTGACTTACAATAATTTTTAGAAGATGTGAACTACCTGTTGTTTCTGATGTTTCTGAAACTCAGGGACATAATTGGATGAAGCCGAATGCTTGGCGAGAGTGTCACCAAGTTTTGTTGGCAATATCAGTTAATATATTATCACCGTACTTCAAATGGTGAAGGGTGAATTTTAAGCCTTTGTCTTTTATTCTTTGTACCATTTCCACACCTTTGAAATCGGTGTACGTAAATATATTTTGGACACATAATTTCTCCTAGAGTGACCCTTATTCTGTTTAAATGCGCGTCGAGCCTTGGCATTTTAACTTTATTCAAGTTATGCAAGATAGGATGTCGTCGAAAATACTTTCAGGCTTTCTTCTTACACTTTTTGGCCTGTTTGCATTCATTATTGAACCAAGGTTTACGAATATGTGGAGTTGCAGAGGACTGTGGAATTGTTTTGTCAGAAATATTGTTAAGTATGTCCGAAAAGGTCATGTTTCAAGTGTTCAATACATAGAGTCTTATATAATAACCAGTCAGCCTTGGTGAACTTCCTTCTTGATAAAGGAGGATCATCACCTGGGTTGAGAGTTTAAAGAATGGTGGGGAAGTGATCACTCCCACATAGGTCATCATGGCCCAGCCATTTAAATTCATTATACAAGGTTGTATCGAGGAGTGCCAGATCGAGGGCAGAATATGTTCCAGTTGCTGGATGTAGATCAGTGTTTGATTCATCATTACATTTACAAAAGTTATCCTCTGAAAAAAAGTCCTCAAGGATTTTACCTTTATTGTTAGTATGGATACTTACCAAAAGCTGGTTGTGTCCGTTCAGATCGCCCATGACGAAACATGGTTTGGGAAGTTGATCATACAGATCCTAACCAATTAACTGAAATAAGTACTCTAATCTGCATATTGTCCCATTTTTGGGACAAAAAGAATTGAGTATGGAAAAAATGCAAACGATTTTAATTTTATGTTCTGTTTGAATAACGAAATAGTTAAACACATTCTGATGAACTTACATAGTTAAAATTGGGACCAAGAAAAAAAGTCATGACCTCACACTTCGCCGAATTGGCAGGGGAGCGGCCTTGCCACTGGAGGTCACCATGCTTACAGGGACGTGACTTTACAAGTAATGTGAATGGTTCAACCACCAAACAATTTACTCAGCCTCATTCACTTCTATACTGCAAGTCTCTATCTTGAACAATCAGAGAGGTACCTTTTTCAAGTACCCGTCCCCTAAAAGGGACAATAGGCATAAATGGGTTATAAAGAGCAATATCGTACGATCAAAAATTCATCCTAACTTGATTACAATCACATAATTTGAATATAGAAACTAAGCAAAAGATTACAAAAAGGTAAAATATCGTCATTTAGTAGCCAATAATGTTACAAGATTTAAAAGTGTATCATAACTTAACAAGTCGGAAAGAGTTATATATTTTAAAAAAATACCCCATGAAAATTCACTAGCCAGTCGGGCCAGTTACTGTGGATATTTACTGGCCCGACTGATATTTTACTAGCCGCGGGCTAGCAGGCCAGTGGCTATTTCGCACGCTGGCTACACGTACTGATATAGTCTACTGATATACCAGTCTTGTCCCCTAAATACCTAGCAACATGCACGTGTGTGTAGCTTCACGTACTGGTATAGTCTACTGACATACGCCTTGTCCCCTTAATACCTAGCACCATGCACGTGGGTGTAGCTACACATACTGGTGTTTTTAACCCTCAAAATTTAAAATCAAAATGGCCACCAAAATCACCTAAAATAGTGGTAGGTGTTTACAGTATTTTCGCCTGTGATTGTATCTCTATTTCTTAAATTTGGAATTCTGACTTTTTATGACATTTAAGGAATGTTGATCATGAATAAATAGGATTCCAAGCTGAAAAATGTTGATTGGACCCTCAAATTTGAAAAACAAAATGGCCACCATAGTCGCCGCAAGTAGTGGTAGGTGTGCACGGTATGTCGTCACTTGTGACTGTATATCTATTTTCTAAATTCTTTGAAACCTGACCTTTGTAGACATTTAAAGGGTGCTGATCACGATAAAATAGAATGTCAACTGAAAAAATTGATTATGAACCTCAAACTTGAAAAACGAATGGCCGCAAAAATAGCTGATTCCGTCATTGTTACCATTGAGACTGTGAGGAAACAAATAGCATTCAAAGTTATACCAATACACAACTACATATGTTTCATGAACAGTTTTAATCATTTCGGATGGAAACAATACGGATAATCAATCAAACTTTTAACAAACAATTCTCAACACAATATATCAGCCGAAACATACCCACGGCATAACAATAGCGTTACTCACACTTGATTCTCATATACATAAGAATTCTAATATCTCATGTTATGCTTAATAATTTGGTCAAAACAACCACAAACAAGTTTGAATTCAACATCTCATAATATTCAACGATTTATTGAATAAGCATCTTTGTGACTTGACTTTGATCAATGACATTTCATCAATGAACACATTAGAACTGTTATTGAAACAGCTTTCCTCATCACCAGGCCTCCGGAGACTGGAAGACAAGACAAAGGAGCTTGTAGCTGATACAGTGTTCCGCAGGGAGCGAGTGAAGGCTGTGGTAAACAGGAGTGATGTGCTCTGATTTCCTAGTCAGTGTAACAATCCTTGCTGCAGTATTTTTAACTTGTTGTAGTTTGTTAAGCTGCTGTTTAATTAGTTGCTCCAGACAGTAGGGAATTACAATGGTAATTAGCGACAGGACCAATGTGGCAGTAGAGTTCTATTTGTCAGGCACTTGCGAAGTTTACCAATATTCCTGAGGACAAGAAAGCGGGTTTTGTTAGATTGTTGACATATGAGTTAAGCAAAACATCCTAGTCGAGAGTGACCCCATGATTCTTGACCTCAAACGACAAAGGAACACGACTGTCTCCAAAGTGGAATTCGCGGATTCTTATGCTGCGAACCAACGAGAAGACATTCACTCTATGACTCATTTAGCTTCAGCTTGTTCTGAAACATCCAAGCTTCTATATCCTCACAGCAGCTAGCTACCTGTGAAACTGCATCGTGAGCATTCCTAGCTTTGGGAGAGAAATCCTTGTTCAGCTTTGTGTCGTCTGCATACTGCTGTGGGCAGACAGAGCATTACTGATCCCCGGTTTGGATGGTTTCTCAAACAAAATCCTACGCACTGTACGTACACAAAATCTTCAGCGGATCTGATCTTGTCTTGGATCCGGTTTTCAGCACCCAAATCCTTTAGAAGATGATGATTGTTGAGAAAGCCCTTCAAGGCTGATCTCTTGGTATGACCACAGAGGTAGGATGAGGAATCACAGCCCGTTAGTTCATGAAATGGCAACAACGATGCAACAGAATATGCTGGCAGTTTTCGTAAACTTTACCAACTTGAATGTACTTTCTTTTCTGAGCGGTTCCTGTCAACAACCAGATGTTGTCAGCTTTAAGAAATGAAAAGTGTGCCAGGAGAAGCAGGCATGTTAGCTGAACTGACTTTTGACGTGGCATCTGGAATACCTAAAGTTTTGATAGTTTCAGTGTGACAAAAACACACCGGGGGCTGCCATCCTGCGACTTGTGTTGCATGGAAGTTATTTTCCATCCAAGCTTTCATCCAGGATATCAATATTGTCTGCTGTGAAGGAAACAAATATGTTTTGTATGAGGTTTAGTGAGTGAGTGAGTGAGTTTAGTTCTACGCCACACTCAGCAATATTCCGGCTATATGGCGGCGATCTGTAAATAATCGAGTCTGGACCAGACAATCCAGTCATCAACAACATGAGCATCTATCTGCGCAAATGGGAACCGATGACATGTGTCAACCAAGCCAGCGGGCCTGACCACCCGATCCCGCCAGTCGCCTCTTACGACAAGCATGGGTAACTGAAGGTTCATTCTAACCTGGACCTTCACGGGTTATGAGGTTTAGTGGTATCACAGAACCAGTGATGTGATTCATTGTTTTCAACTTTGACTCTGTCAAGGATGTGTCAAGTTGCATGACCTGCTTGTAACCTAAAGTATGTCCTGCTTTGTGAAACAACTGAACAAGATCTTTGGATCTCGTTACTGGATGAAGTGTACATACAAATGTTTAAGGAGCATGTAGACACTGTCCGGTATGCAACTGATATGTCAGGGGACCCAAGTACTAGCTATGGTTACCATCACAAATACAGCAAGTACTACTTTGGGTTACCATCACTAATACAGCAAGTACTACCTAGGGTTACCGTCACTTAATACATCAAGTACTACCTTGGACTACCGTCACTAATACATCTAGTACTACCTTGGACTACCGTCACTTATACAGCAAGTACTAACTTGGGTTAACGTCACAAATATAGCAAGTACTGCCTAGGGCTACCGTCACTAATACAGCAAGTACTACCTTGGACTACCGCCACTAATACATCAAGTACTACCTTGGACTACCGTCACTAATACAACAGGTACTACCTTGGACTACCGTCACTATTACAGCAAGTACTACCTTGGACTATCGTCACTAATACAGAAAGCACTACCCTGGGTTTACCGTCACTAATACATCAAGTACTACCTTGGGTTATCGTCACTAATACATCAAGTACTACCTATGGCTACCGTCACTAATACAGCAAGTACTACCTATGGCTACCGTCACTAATACAGCAAGTACAACCTTGTGCTACCGTCACTAATAGAGCAAGTACTACCTATGGTTACCGTCACTAATACAGCAAGTACTACCTATGGCTACCGTCACTAATACAGCAAGTACAACCTTGTGCTACCGTCACTAATAGAGCAAGTACTACCTATGGTTACCGTCACTAATACAGCAAGTACTACCTTGTGCTACCGTCACTAATGCAGCAAGTACTACCTTGTGCTACCGTCACTAATGCAGCAAGTACTACCTTGGACTACCGTCACTAATACATCAAGTACTACCTATGGCTACCGTCACTAATACAGCAAGTACTACCTTCTGCTACCGTCACTAATACAGCAAGTACGACCTATGGCTACCGTCACTAATACATCAAGTACTACCTATGCCTACCGTCATTAATACATCAAGTACTACCTATGGCTACCGTCACTAATACAGCAAGTACTACCTATAGCTACCGTCACTAATACAGTAAGTACTACGTATGGCTGCCGTCACTCATACAGCAAGTACTACGCATGGCTACCGTCACTAATACAGCAAGTACAACCTAGGGCTACCGTCACTAATACAGCAAGTACTGCCTTGGACTACCATCACTAATACATCAAGTACTACCTATGGCTACCGTCACTAATACAGCAAGTACTACCTATGGTTACCGTCACTAATACAGCAAGTACTACCTAGGCCTACCGTCACTAATACATCAAGTACTACCTAGGTCTACCGTCACTAATACAGCTAGTTCTACTTACGGCTACCGTCACTAATGCAGGAAGCACTACCTTTGGTTACCGTCACTGATACAGCAAATACTACCTATGGCTACCGTCACTTATACAGCAAGTACTACATTGGACTACCATCACTAATACATCAAGTACTACATATGGCTACCGTTACGAATACAGCAAGTACTACCTATGGCTACCGTCACTAATAGAGCAAGTACTACCTATGGTTACCGTCACTTATACAGCAAGTACTACCTTGTGCTACCGTCACTAATACAGCAAGTACTACCTTGTGCTACCGTCACTAATGCAGCAAGTACTACCTTGTGCTACCGTCACTAATACAGCATGTACCGCCTACGGCTACCGTCACTTATGCAGCAAGTACTACCTTGTGCTACCGTCACTAATGCAGCAAGTACTACCTTGTGCTACCGTCACTAATGCAGCAAGTACTACCTTGGACTACCGTCACTAATACATCAAGTACTACCTATGGCTACCGTCACTAATGCAGCAAGTACTACCTTCTGCTACCGTCACTAATACACCAAGTACGACCTATGGCTACCGTCACTAATACATCAAGTACTACCTATGCCTACCGTCACTAATACATCAAGTACTACCTATGGCTACCGTCACTAATACAGCAAGTACTACCTATAGCTACCGTCACTAATACAGTAAGTACTACGTATGGCTGCCGTCACTCATACAGCAAGTACTACGTATGGCTACCGTCACTAATACAGCTAGTACAACCTAGGGCTACCGTCACTAATACAGCAAGTACTGCCTTGGACTACCATCACTAATACATCAAGTACTACCTATGGCTACCGTCACTAATACAGCAAGTACTACCTATGGTTACCGTCACTAATACAGCAAGTACTACCTAGGCCTACCGTCACTAATACATCAAGTACTACCTAGGTCTACCGTCACTAATACAGCTAGTTCTACTTACGGCTACCGTCACTAATGCAGGAAGCACTACCTTTGGTTACCGTCACTGATACAGCAAATACTACCTATGGCTACCGTCACTTATACAGCAAGTACTACATTGGACTACCATCACTAATACATCAAGTACTACATATGGCTACCGTCACGAATACAGCAAGTACTACCTATGGCTACCGTCACTAATACAGCAAGTACTACCTATGGTTACCGTCACTTATACAGCAAGTACTACCTTGTGCTACCGTCACTAATACAGCAAGTACTACCTTGTGCTACCGTCACTAATGCAGCAAGTACTACCTTGTGCTACCGTCACTAATACAGCATGTACCGCCTACGGCTACCGTCACTTATGCAGCAAGTACTACCTTGTGCTACCGTCACTAATGCAGCAAGTACTACCTTGTGCTACCGTCACTAATGCAGCAAGTACTACCTTGGACTACCGTCACTAATACATCAAGTACTACCTATGGCTACCGTCACTAATGCAGCAAGTACTACCTTCTGCTACCGTCACTAATACAGCAAGTACGACCTATGGCTACCGTCACTAATACATCAAGTACTACCTATGGCTACCGTCACTAATACATCAAGTACAACCTATGGCTACCGTCACTAATACAGCAAGTACTACCTATAGCTACCGTCACTAATACAGTAAGTACTACGTATGGCTGCCGTCACTTATACAGCAAGTACTGCGTATGGCTACCGTCACTAATACAGCAAGTACAACCTAGGGCTACCGTCACTAATACAGCAAGTACTGCCTTGGACTACCATCACTAATACATCAAGTACTACCTATGGCTACCGTCACTCATACAGCGAGTACTACGTATGGCTACCGTCACTAATACAGCAAGTACAACCTAGAGCTACCGTCACTAATACAGCAAGTACTGCCTTGGACTACCATCACTAATACATCAAGTACTACCTATTGCTACCGTCACTAATACAGCAAGTACTACCTATGGTTACCGTCACTAATACAGCAAGTACTACCTAGGCCTACCGTCACTAATACATCAAGTACTACCTAGGTCTACCGTCACTAATACAGCTAGTTCTACTTACGGCTACCGTCACTAATGCAGGAAGCACTACCTTTGGTTACCGTCACTGATACAGCAAATACTACCTATGGCTACCGTCACTTATACAGCAAGTACTACATTGGACTACCATCACTAATACATCAAGTACTACATATGGCTACCGTCACGAATACAG